GCTTAATGAACTTAGACGTTACGCGAGCACAACACGTTCTAATATTATACAGGTCGGATTCTTACGATAGATACAATAAGTGGTTCCACAAGAATAAAAATATAAAATTACGTTATCTTCCCGATTCATAGCAGATATAGAAATAATTGAAAAACAATTGTTTCTTATAAAAAGTATATTTTTGGAGCTAGATCGTAGCCAGTATATTTTTTAGAATAAAATAATTTCACAAGTCGTTTTTATGCACATTTACTCAGGAATTATAGAATAGTTTCCCAATAAAAATAATCCTACTAAAACAAGTTGTACGCATCTTTGTTATTAGTTATTATGATTGTGATTGTAATTTTGCGTTTCTACTATGTATATTATATATCCATACTAATTGTAAAATGTATGCTTCCTTGTTGTAATGGTGGAGTAAGAAAAAAATGTAGAATGAGTTGAACGAATGTAAAAAATGTTGAAAAATGTACAACGAGAATGAGTTTGTATACTCGCCAGTCGCCATGTGCTATATAATGTAGCATACATGTTAAGTCGATTTATTTTTATTGGAGAATTTCAAAATAATATTTTTCTTCTTAAAACTTCACAATGTACCCAACCGACATTTTAGGATAATGTTATAGTATGACAATATCCATACCACAACCTGACGAAACTTAAGCTTCTAATTTGTTTAAATATTTGTATAATATGTAATAAAATGATTTTGTGTATTGAGACTTTAACGCGCGCCCACACGTTATTTTAGCAGTGTTAAAAATCGAACATTGTACAGACTACGGGTCACTCACTCGTAATTATAATTATATCATTGAAATGCGCTGTAAACTTGTGGTCGATATTTAATGAACATTGATAGGCAATGCTTAAAACGTTCTATATCGCAACAGGAGCAATGATAGTAATGGTTTTATGGAGCTCTCCTCGAAATGTAAATACTTCGTTAAATGATATATATATATTAGCTTTTGACCTCAGAATCAGATTGCGTCCCAAACTCAGGTGAACGATTACTTCCCCCCTCCCAACCTTAATGTTTCGATTGTATCCTATTGTAAGTAGGTATGCGTTCAAATACACTAAATGTTGGCCAATATAACGTTGAGCATCGGAGTTGTACAAATAAGATATGTAAATGTTATTTTAAGACAATTTGATCGGTGTTATTAGAAAATAAAAATGTTTTAATTAATCATTGTCATGAACTCATGAACCGGATTCTTCTGAATTCTTTAAGAAACAAAATATTCGAAACAATTTAAAACGAAAAATTGCTGTAAGACCTTCAACATTGATGTATAGTCAAATAAACAGCTATAGATGATACGCACAATTTTAATTTTAATATACAATTAACTATTTAATGAATATAGTTTAAATTTAACTAGATATTTAAATTAATATGATAAATTATAATTTTCAAATTGAAATAAATATTATTCGTATTATTATAAATTTAAATTTAAATTAAAAATACATATTAAACATGTTGACCCAATTATATAATAATAGGCAATAATAAAACTAAACAAAATACTTAAGTTTATACTACGTATTGACGAGTTATCAAGAAAATCCGAGTTCACAGACGATAGACTACAGAGAAATACAAAAGGTTCATTACGAAAAATATAATTTGTATAGGATATATATACCCTGAAGATTTTTGTAATATCTGTTCAATGTTTTAAAATGTTTAGCCGTAAAAACTATAATAATTTCTCATCCTCTATTATGGTGCGTCGAATCGTAAAAGCGTTATAAGTTCCGAAGCACTAACTGTTTTTATCGAATCATCATACCGATAAAAAATGTCGAACATGACGCATATTATAATAATATCTATAACATACTGTGTGTGTGTGTCCACAGCGGTGACGTTTCGTGGCATAAAATATTAAGTAAGTATACATAACTCACAACAACGACGTTGAAATTAAACGGATCTGCGATATAGCTCCAGGGCACTCGTAAAATCGGCAGGTGGGTGGTATGGCAATATGGTAGGAGGTGCGGGCGGAGTGTAGTCCGTCCGGCGGTCCGTCCTCATAATGATATTGTACGAAATATAACGTACGATTGAAATAATCATCATACGGTCGAAACTCTATAGCTAATGCTGCTGCTCAGACGTATTATTACGATTTCCATTAGAAAACACGGATCAACCGCACACTTAAGCACAGAATGTAATACAATTATATAATATTATAAGCTTGCACTCTTACTGTGGTATCAGATCCGATTATCATGACGGACGATCACGCACACGTGTCACTCACTCTCGTTCTGCTATACACGTGTTTATTATTGTTATCAAAAGGTGGACGAAAAAATAACACTCCCGTTCGCCGAATTCAGATATAAGATGTGGGCTAACATTTGACACTTTGATCAAATTCCGAGTTTGTGATTTTTTTAGTATGCTTTTAAAATGCTTAGTTAATTCTCAACTTAAGAGGGTCCTGATATAGCTATGCAAACTTGATCTTTTTTCAAATTTATATCTCACATTTTTACTGTAAAATAGATGATTTTTTGAATTTGTTGATAATAGTATGAAATAACTGGTTCCGAACACCCTTTACCATGAGGCGCCGCTTTCACCACCTCCCTAAAACAACTTCTTGAATAAAGAAAAGCGTGATAACTGAGAACTACTCTAAAGTTTTGTTTGTGCCACCAAATGACGAGTCGATATAGCCAGGCGTTCACAAACTGTGTAGGTACGTGCATATTTCCCTTTATTATTAATTTATTATGAAAGAGTTTTGATTCAAAAGTTTACGCGTTAACGCAAGATCAGATGCACAGGTGGCTAACTTGGTGATATTTATGGCGGAAGTGTTATTACACTAATTTTATAGTGGTGTGAGGGATCGTTATAAATACAATCAATTATGGCACCAAAATGTTATCTTTTTTTTTATCAGTGTTATCATATAATATGCTGGTATTAACAATATCAAATATTATATAAATATTATATAATATCCTAATAATTCTAATAGAAAATTCTACACTATACTTATAAATATATACCAAATTAACCAGTGTACCAGTATTAAAACATATTTAGCGCTGCCTTGGAAAGGATAATTTTTAATTTAAAATTTAAAATGGAAATTATTTGTGTTACTTAAAATGTTTCCTCTAAATAAATGTTAATTACATACACACAAGTTTTAAAAAATTGCCTGAGTATATTTAAAAATTACAAAAATAGGAATTACAATAAATTCATTTTTAAAAGGCAATTATTAGGAAGCGCATGCTTGGTAAATCACTCTGTATCCTTTTTTTGTTTAGTTACATATACCTAGTATTATATAAATTATTAAGGTAAATTATTTTCATTAACCGAGGAATTATTAATATATTAGAACTAAGATATTATATTATACATTAATATTAGTTAAATATTATATTTATTATTTAATAGTATAGGCGATACTATCATATTATGTGATCACTGAACAATTTTAATTTTAAGCTACAATTTTTCCCAAACGGCTCCTTATTACAAAAAGATTGATCCACAACGGCTTTTTTCGAAAAAGGTTCTACGATCAGGCAAATTCAAAAACGGCTTCAGTTTTTTACAACACAAATTCCTTCTCACTTCATGCAGACTTAGGACTGTCTCAAAAGAGTGTTTAAAACTGTGTTGTTGTTGTTTTTTTAAGGTTATATTCTAAGTAAATTATAGAAGTTTTAAAAAGCTATATTTTGTATATGAAATGTTAAAAAGGCGGGTAAGTGTATGCCGTTCCGTTGTACATTATTTGTCTAAGAGGTCGCTGTAATGGATGGTATTAAATTTGAATTCAATTATATCAAATCATTGTATTTAAGAAAGGGAAGCTGAACACTCGGAACATATTTTTAATATTAATGTCGGTATATATAATATGTTCAATGTTTTGATATTTTTAATATTATCAATGTGTCCGATATTTTCGATTAAATTTAAATTATACATCGATATACAGTATACCAGTGGTATATCAATATTATCGTCAGCTGTTATCGAATTTATCTGTTCGTATACTCTATTCCATATAAGTTTGGAAAAAATCGCGCATGCGGGTACGCTGTGATTGGCTACGGATTCGGCATTCGTCGTGATCGGTCGGCGGCTGGAGCTCACCGCCGTGTATACGGTCTGTTAAAATAACAAGAGCTCGTTATCACTCATCTTGTAAAATCAAATTAAAAAAAAATAAATTGTTTAAATAAAACAAACTAACAAACAAATAAAAACGCCGAAAGCAGGTTCGATGAATGTGCGTATACGCGGAGCACGTTTTCGACAGGACGTAGGCAAGCGAAGTGTTGACGGTTGAGAAAATGCAGTCAGGCTGTATACAACCGGATCGTCGACAACAGCGCTCGCCACCGGCAGATCACGTGACATACCTGCGCGAAACCGCCGAAACCGGACGCGTTTTCGTCGTACATTTTTCCAAACTTATTTGGAATAGAGTATAAACCTTTTTCGACGGGAGCCGGTTGGGATGTGCCGGGTGTGAGACGCACCCTCAACGATACCTAGTGATATAGAACAACGTATGTAATTTGAGAAGGGTCAATGGTGGTATTTTTGGTAGCCTTACAGCAACTGATGCGCCACGCGAACGACTGCCGCGGCGTCCGAGTTACCGATTCACTTGCAAACGACGTCACTGTTGCATTGAATAAGATGTTTGGTGTCAAACGAAAAATTATATAATTCACACGTGGTTTTTCAAAATAACCCAATTATTTACGATGATTAACAATGAAAAGGCTTCACGTTTTTATTTTTAAAGTGAAAAATCCACTACTATACATTTTAATGAAGAAAATAATGGTTTATATAGCGGAATTGCGCTACACCTGAGAACAATGTCCGCTATTAAAACACAATTTCGTGACTGTTGGACTAAACTACAATACCCTTAAATTTTATTAGGAGGGTGCATCAAGTTTGTTGTTGGTGTAGAACTTACGTTGCTCAAGCCCTGATGATTGAGAGTCTGCACTGGTCTTCTTATTGAGGTCGGCTTTGAATCCACTGCAGGATGGACCCGGCGTCTGTGGTGTGATTGCTTCATTGGCGGCAACCAATTTCGGCTCCACTGGCTTACTACCCGATTTACGTTGTTCTATTAATGCATCCATGTCTACCAACATGGCTTTTTTAAATTCTTCAGTTCCATTAGCATAGCCTATTTTTTTTTTAAAAATAAATAAATAAATAACTTAAATAATATAAAATTATGGATTAAATATTTATTTAACAATAAAATATTATGTGATATTACCGTGTTTTGATTCGATGTGTCTAACGAGATACCACACATGAGCATAATTATTTGAGCATATTCCGCACATTATTGTTACTTCAGGATTATGGATTAACAAATGTGTAATCAAAGATGATTTACGTTGATAATTTTTTCCACAAAATCCACATTGAAACTTGGTCATTTTAAAAAAATTACGCACACAGTTTTAAAAATAAAAGAAGAAATGTATATAAACCTGATAGAAACCTTGTACACACTACACGTCTACACAGTTGTTGGCTGAAGACTGAGAACATACGAGTATGCACCCTGCGGTTCAGGGTTATTATTTGGAAGGGAAAGGTGGTGGGAGTAACAAATATTGAATAGCATTGAGATACAATGAACCTATACGGGGTGGTTCATATGACCTTCAAATATTTCAGAAAAGAATACTTCTTATACATATTTTTAAGTCGTTACAAAATAAAATGTTTGATAAAAACTAAATTGTTTACATGTAGTATCATTAAATCTGAGTGAAATATAGCAGCGAGGGCGCCTTGCAGACGGTCTAAAACAGGTTTTTTCGAACGACGCATCCACCCCTAGTAAAACACCTGTAGCGCTCTCGTCTGCCGGTTTTTCATTCGGTTGACATTCCACAACAAGGACAAAAATATATTCCTCCATTTTACACCGTGCTTGGCATGTTTTTTGTATTAATATCTCTTATTATAAGCATTTATATGTTGGTACTATTTTGTTTAATTTGTATTTGATATTTTGATTATGCGTTTATTAAATACTGGAAAAAATGGAAGAAATTAATAGAAAAAATCTTGTTGAAAGATAAGCATCATTCATTATACTTGGATTAAATTGCATTCATTAGATTTGCTTAATGTTGCATATTTAATTTCATAACGTAATAAATAGCAATTTAATACCGACTGAATTATAAAATACTGATGTCAATCAACAACGATACTATTAATTTCCATATTTTGATATCATTTCTTAGCGAACAATTAAAAAAAATAAAATTTTATATAAGTGGTAGAGGATAAATTTAAAAAATAATATTGTCAGCTATCGACGAAAATACTTGGAGTTTTTTAAATATTACAGAGCATTCACGTTCGTCCAATGTATTACATTTACTTTGGTAAACGTGTGTGACACTACTTTGAGATCGTATACATCGATATATTACGGCTACATCGCATATAGAGATGCATTCTTAGTAGGGTTTGAAACTGAACAATGAAACCCCTCGGATAAAGGCAAAGCGGGGTATTAAATGTTGTCCAAATACAATAATCAAAAGGTTTCGTTTTTGTGGGTGGTCTATTAACATTCGAATACTAAACATTCCAACTGTTACTGAATCGAATTAAAGGGGAAGCGTTTTATGTATGAAATACGATTTTGGACGCATTAACTTATACCTAAACATTTTATATAATATGATGACAAAATATATTATTTTGTGACCAATAAAAAACATGAAGTGTAACGTTGCCTAGTTGGTTTAGTGTGTGACGCAGTCTATCAAGCCCATCAACTATAAATTATGATTGGCTGATCGTTCCGACGTCTTAAGCAAGTAGCGTCTATACAAAATCATTATAAGAGTAATAATAATGATAAGTGATAATTTATTAAAAGAACCTTATTATATAGTTAATAACTGAACGGGTCTAGTATAACTAGAGTATTAAAGTGAAATTACTTGTAAATATAACCAACTTCTAAGTTAAAATTTAATTCGCTCACTTTATCGCAGTACGGATTGATATAAAAATTGGCGATAAATGAAATACGAATTGCATCCAGATTTTTCTAATTGACTTTACTTTTAATATATTATACGATTATCTGATTATAAAATTACACTTTCATCAATCCGAAGTATGTGATAAAAAATGTTTAAGAAAGAAGACAATCGATTAAACCTAAAAATAATAAAAATTACTCGCTTTGATTATATAAATAATAATTTTATTATACACCTAATATTATATTTTAACAACTAAACCTTACCTATATATTATTTATCTGTATTTTTTCAAATTTGATTTTAATATTTGAATATAAACGTCAAACAAAAATACTAAAACGCAATGTATAATATAATATAATAATTGTATAATATAATATTATAAATAATAACAAAAAAGTCACAAAATATCATTTCTGGTAAAGAATTTATTTACATTGGACGTATTAGTAATTACTAATTAGTGTAGTTCTTAAATAATATCAGGACGCAATTCGGGAACGTATGAAAGAGGGGTCTTGGGAGTTGGGACGTAATTCACTTTCTGCGTCATCCGTATACAGTAAGCGTCCTAAAACATGTTCTGGAAAAGGTTAGTTTGATAAGGATCGTCCATAATTATTATAGTGTACCTCCACATTTCACGAATAGCTTAAAATAAGATAAAACACTGTGATTGTAATGAATAATGACTAGTAGCCAATAGGCCTTATCGTTCCGTCAAAAAAAAAACTAATTTCCCTCCGCGTAATAGAAATAAATAAATATTTATTATGGAGTTGGAAAGTGCATGGAAATTTATTCATCAACCAATATCGTGAAATGTCAACTACTTTAAATGGCCTAAACAATTCAAACGTCTTTGTAAAAAAGACTTGATTAATAAGACATTTGCACAACAAAAACAACAATAAACTGTACCTACTGAAGAACCCTGCATGGCTTCCCACATCTTAACCATAACTGATAATACCTCTGATTCCAATTAAGAATCCGAAAGTGACGACCAAAATATAATTTTTTCAATAAGATGTATGATAATAAATTATTAAAATACATCATGTTTCACTGACTGTTCTCGCATACTTACCTATACTTATTTGAATGCTCAAACAATTGTGAATAATTTAATTATATGAAAATAATAATAATGAAATAAAAATATCAATACTATATAAATAAATTGTTTGAATACATATTGACATGGTTATTTAAATGTAATGTGAAGGTTTGTGGTGATATAAAACTTAATTAGCGAGGGAATATATTTTCTCCGATTTGATCGGTTGTCTTGAGGTCGGTCACCGTCCGGCGCGGTGAATTACATTTGCGTATGATACGGACATTTTTTAAACCATTACGAGTATGTGCATATGATGTACCTAAAAAATGTAGTCAAACGTTCCCGTTGTTTACAATGCTAAAAATATATTTGAGAAATAACTTTCAACTAGTTTTAATGCCAGAACTAAAAATGGTTCAGAATTTTCACCGAAGGTTCAACACTCAAATGTATACTTTATTTTATGTTTTGTCATTCAATCTTTGAAAAAAAAGCAATTCGTAACGAATATTAAACTATCCACTGTGAACACATAATATACATATATGTATAATCAAAACTATTCCAACTATAGACACATCCAACAATTGAACCATGTTAGTAATACTACTTTAAAAACTATACAACCAATTTGAAATAGATCAATTTATATTAATTTTGTTTTATCGGGGACTGGTTATAGATACCTACCGGTTTTAATTACCTATAATTTTTTTTTTTATTGTATCGTAAATATTTTTTGTTTAGCTGTTAGATTTATTAATGAATTAAATTATATACTCACGTAAAATATTTCAATTATATTACATATACCTAGGATACTAAACAGTACATTAATATGTTTCGTAAAAATACGTTTTATTAGAAAATAGTATGAACAAATTCTTTTGAAGATTAAAAATATTGAATAAAATATAGCACATGTTGGCAACGTTACATTCTCATTTTCCTTCGCGACGGGATGTGTTTAAGGGTCGGGTGGACAGTATAATATACAAACATGGTACACCTACCTGCTCACGTGCTTCCAAAAGGGACAAACTGTGTCAGTGAGAATCACCGGTTGTTATAACTATCTCGACCTTGGAATGCACCGCCAACGAGCATCTGTTCGACAGACGTTTACTAAATGTATATCGCTTTTAAAGATCAATATGGACCTTTCGTACGAAACACTACGTACAATACAAAACCTAAATAATGAACGGACGGATACAATATTTCCAACTGGGATAGAGTCATAAATTCAGATTTTTGAAATTGTTGGTCCTTAATTTCGAATGAATAGTTTTATAACGGCCACGTCATATTGTGGCAAAAACGGCCGAAGAAGCAACTATAATAATATGTTTTAAAGGAATTCGAAAATCGACTGTCTGTATAGTGGTCTAAATATTATTATCAAATATTATGCGTATATTTTCCCTGAGCAATTGAATTGTTTAAACGGCACTGCATACGAAGAGTGGTTTCTTATTTCAGATTCGTCGACGTCGTCAATACTCAATAATTATTATGCTGTCGTAGTACTTAATTAATATTATTCTTTATACTGACGATACCTTATTATTATATTACATTATGACATAATATTTTAGAATATAATACTGTACTGTTGGGCGCTCGGACGATTCCAGTGATTTCTTCGAATTTTCAAGATTCGAAAATATTATATCGAAAACATAATATATTCTAGAGATTTTCTCGACGGTCATTCGACATTTAACGCTACATCAGTAGTTGTAATAATAATATATTATATCGTATTTTATTTATCTTATAATATTATTGTGATATTATCATTGCTGTAGGTTAGCACCTATTTATACCAAACTACCACCTATAACCTAACCCGTATCGTGTGTACAATTATAATATATCGTAATATTATTATAGGCTCGTATGATGTTATATCTACGCCGGTTGTTCGCGCGCTGTCTTGAACCGATTTTACAAACGACTTTTTTATTAAAAAAAAATTGATTAACTTCTAGCATAAACTATATTACAATTATAATAATAATAATAATAATAATATGAACTGCTGTTTAGCATCCATTTATTTTGGTCCGGCGGCGGCCGCGGCTGTACACCGTCGAATGATTAACCGTGAATCGTCTCGGCAAGTAAACGCTACGTATAATTCCGTCGACATGATTAAATCGAACACGGCACGCGCGTATTTCCTCGCCGAGGAATATTATTATTATTATTATTATTATTATTATTATTATTATTATTATTATATAATATTACTGCCGACAGTCGTGATTATTATTTTCGACTGCGCGTGTAACAATATTATAATATTAATATCGACGGTCTACGAGACGGGGGCGAGCAGGAGAGCCCCGCGGGGAGCGTAGTATGGCCTGAAATATTATCATTATTATTATTGAGACGCGCCGCGGTGTAAACGACGCTGACAAAACGATTTTCGTCGACTTTCGGCGGACGCGTAATCAATTCCGAGGCAAAACCACGTGTTTCCCGACGAATCCATTAATTTCGCTTGCAATCATCATCATCATCACCTACCTATCTAATACTATATGCGTCCCATTTCGGCATTTTGTTTTAATAACACGCACACACACACACACACACACGCATACACGGTTATAGGTAACGAGTATGGTGTATTAAAATGAATACGTGTGAATATTGTCTATACGATTCGTATATTATCATATTATATACCTCTGCCCACTGACGACGACGAAGACTGTTGAAGGTATATATATAGTATTAAATTATTATTATTATTATTATTATTATATTATAGTAATACGCCTGGCGTCGTCGTGGGCTCTGAATATTATTGTATACAACTACAACATAATAATATTCCGACGCGGAATTTTTATTAGGTACTAATAAATTAATATATCAAGGGAACATGACGTTTCCATTTTATCGTATTAAGAACGCTTGCCAACACGTATAGTGTGTGTATAGTGTACATATGTATATATGTATATATATTGTACAACTCGTACCGCAGCCGTATATTATATTATAATTATTACATTCATCGTGTACACGACGAGAAATTACGGGAATTATTATTATTATTATTATTATTATTATTATTGATATCGCGGAGAGAATAATATAATTTTTTTTTACAACACCTACTTTGATAGTTTGATGTCCCACTGCGGG